CTAATATATACTATTAGCAAGGGTATTTTAAGAAAAACAAAATCTATGTATTACAAATAACTAATTTAACTAATCTTCTTAATCTACTCAAATTAGTCAACTAACTCTTATATTAAGTACCGAGTAGAATTATTTTACTCTTCCCTCGGAAATAAAATTTATTAGCATGCATCAAACCAGCCACTGCAAACGGAAGCGATTATAGAATAATAAGGTCAAGTGGTAGTTGCAGGGCAGAAAGAGTAATATGGAATTGGTTGAAGATGATGAAGAGGCCGCTGTCCCCAGTAAGAACATTTGCCTCACTCATGTCTATGTCCTCTACACCGCCTGGCAGCTTCCAATCGAACCAAAACAAGAGATTACAAAGTGTAGGTTCAACTGAAGCTACTCCAAATGACAATCCAGGACATCCTCTTCTTCCAAATCCAAAGGGTATAACTGGAAATATTTATATGGCCTTTAAAATCAACCTCACTGTTCTCAAATCTCTCTGCAACAAACTCTTCAGGACCCTCCCGCTGATCTTTATCTCTCTGTAGTCCCCGTGCATTCACAATCACTGTTGTTTTTGGTGGAATATCGTAGCCTCCTAGTTTCACACTGCTATTAGTTTGTCTTGCAATAGGAGCAGGAGGATTATGCAACCTTAGGATCTGTTTGGTATAAGGAAAATAGAAAGGAGAGGAGGAGGGAAAAATTTTAATGAACTCAATTTAAAAAATTGAAAAAGTGTGTTAAAAACTTTTAATTAACTTTTATTACTCTATCTTATAACTTTCTTCTGTTAAAATTTTAAAACCTTACTTCTCCAATTGTTTAAATTGAGCTCATGAAAAATTTTCCCCCCTCTCCTCCATTTCCTTTCTACCAAGCATAGGGTCTTCACCACACATTTCAAGTAGCTCATTTTATTCACCGCAGTTCTATTTTTGATTTGTGCCCCACAATTCTTCGTGCCTCTTTCGATCCTGAGCTTTCTTCATCTTCCTTGAATGAGTCAAAGGGCAGATGAAGTACCACAATAGAGAGAGATAAATGTTCTAATTTAGTTCTATGGCCATCCACCCTTACCTTCTCTCCGCTTATGTTTTGCTTTTATAACAATATATATATATATATATATATATATATATATAGGGAGAGAAAGACTTCTCTCATATCTGAACACGTACCGTGTTTGGTTTAATATCATCTAAGAGTACTATCTCTTATTAATTAATATTCCCTTCGGTCTTCTATATAAGCTTCAAATAACTAATTTGCAAATAACAAACAATTAGTTAAAATTAGTCAAAAGAAATAAATAGGTTAGAAATATAATCTTGTTTTTAAATATACCCTCATAATAAATGACAAAAAAAGAAGAAGAAAGAGAATGTATAGAGAACTGTGATAAGAGATATTATAACAAAAGAGAGAGAATAAATAATTAAGAGTAAAATTAAAAAATATATTAAATGTTAAGATAAACTCAAATTAAAACTTATAAATTGGACCACACTTTTTTTTTTTAAATTTGAAGCTTATATATAAAAAGGGAGGGAGTATAAGTTTTTGGAATGCTTTTATATTTATGACATGTATCAATTACTAAGATTTATTACATCTATTAATTACTAGCATTAATTTAATGCAACATTCAATGCACCTTTCAACCACCGAGAACATCTACTACATTGAGAAAACAAGAGACAATTACTCCCTCTGTTCCTTATTATAAAAGACAAATAACCAAATTACATTGATAAAAAAAACAGTTAAAATTAGTTGAAAATAATTAATGTGTAAAAACTATAATGTTTTTTCCAACAATGCCCCATTATAAGGAGAGAGAGTATGAGAGAGAACAATTAAATTATTAAAAGAAAGAGAAGTGGAAGGGAGAGAGAGTATGAGTTGAAGACAAAATAAATAAGGGTAAAATAGGAAATCAATACAAAAAAATAAAGACAACTTTTAAGTGTCTCTTATATATGGGAACATGCCATAAGCATCAAATGTCTCTTATAATAAGAAACGGAGGGAGTACAATCAAATCCTATGAAAGGAAAAAAAAATTACAAAACAAGTTCCAGAGGTTTTTATTCTTTGCTGTAAGACTTGTCATTACAGGTTGCTCAGGTTGTTATTGGGACTTTTTAGTAATTATTTATCTTCTATGAAACTTGATTGTAATTCTCCCAAAAAACAATATATGATCCAATATTGTTAAGTAGGGTGGTACAACAGACAGACTGGACTAGACCAAAACCTAACTCGAAGTTTAACCTGATTTTTGGTTGGGTTGGTTTTAGTAGTCTGTGGTTTGGTTCTATCCAGTGGTGACCTGAGATTGGGTTGGACTGGACTTGGTTCACTAGACTGGTGGATTGGTTCAGATAGTTCAGGTTTCTAATTTTCTTTTTTTTTTTCAAATTTTTTTCTTTATGGGAAGCAAGATTTTCACTTGATAAATACAATTTAAAATAATAAAAAATACCTATAATAATATAAAACACATCCTAAAATATTAAGACTTCATCATAAATACATAAAAATCTCTAAAAATATTAAAACAAAAATTAAGGGTAACACCTAAATTACAAATTATTGAAAAATAAAAAATTCACCTAGATTAGACAAGACCAATCCAGGTGGTTTGGTCATTTGGTCCAAAACCCAGTCTAACTCGACCAACCAAGCTGGTCCAGTCTGATCTAATTTTATTATATAGTTTTTTTGGACTGAAGTGGACAAGATCAAAGCATTTCGGGTTGGATTAGATTGGACCAGAATACCGGGTTTTTGCATATCTTTATTGTTAAGGGATAAAATTATTCGGCATTTTTTGTGAAGTAATGTGTTTAAAATTACTCTACAAGGTATTTGGGATTTTCTTAGCGTAGCTAATAAGATCTTTCTGAAAATGCTCCAAAAGGAAAATCGAAGAGAGTAAATAAAATTAACAACCAGCCAAAAAAAGTTGGGCCGATATAAATCTAATTCCCCCTTTCATATTCTCCACCAATTTCACCCAACTTGCATTTATTATCTTGGCCTTCAAAAGTGAGCCCAATGACCCAATATACAACTGGGTCGATCCAGACCTTATATTTGCCCAAAATGATCGGTTACAAGTAGTGGGAAGATCTGAGTTCCGGACCTAACCTGCTCATGTACAAAGGTGAGAATATAAGCTGGCCCCACTCTCAGGGCCTACGGGTTTAAAATGATTGACCCTGCAAGATGAAAACTTCTGAAATACCCCAATTGGTTAGACTCAACCTTTAAACTGATAGGCTCAAGGCCAACCCGCAAGCTTTTGGCTCGTTTAAAGGGGGAAAAATACTATTTTTTACATTTCTTATATTTTTTTAATCAAAAATAGAAATAAACTAATGAAATTATTAATAAATGACATAAATATGAATAGAAGTAAGTCACAAATATAAATATATCATCATATCTAAATACCAATCATCATCTAAGAACATCATAAACATCCATCAACAAGACAACAACATCCAAAAGTTTCATCAATAGTGCAAATATGTAATAGATAAATAATAGCATTAATTTTTCAAAACTTCATCATCACTGTAACCAATTGCTTTTCTTTATGAGTATGCTCTTCTTGCATATCAAAAATATCAAGTTTTTCTTCTTTATAGGGATTTCACTTTTAAATTGTACAGTCTAGCTATTATTTTATTTTAGTTTGAGGAGTATTATTGTTGAAACTCATAAATTTCTAATCCAAATTATAGAATTACAAGTTATATAAGTATAAAAATACTCTTTTACTAAGTATATATAGTTTAAAAATATCAACACATATAATATAAATCAAATCATTATTAAAATCCAAATTAACTCATTTTTTAAAATTTAATTTAACAAATTATTATCTAAAACCAAATAAATCAAATCATTATGTAAAATTTTATTTCAAAATAATAATAATAACTAAATATTCAAAATAATATTAACAATGTAAAAATTACTATTATTAGAATCATGCAAAAAAAAAATTGAAAAACAAAAAAAATAAAAAGGCTTAAACGAGCCAACCCTTAACCCTGTAAGACTGGCCATTTAAGCCTCTAGTCTTACAGAGTCCATTTTTATAAACCTGTTTCTCATTTAAATAAAATTTTTTTGAAAAAATAGAAAATAAAAACCACCAATATGTGAAATTGTGATTTAGGATCTCTCATTTGAAAAATAATAAATAAAGGTCCGGTCTCGTGTTGTAAATATAAAATCTTGGTAAAATGTCTGAAATACCCCTCAACCAAATGATAAGTTGACTATGAAAAATGACAAGTTTATTATAACGAATGACAATTTCAGTAGACTAAATCACAATTTAGTCGAGGATATGCCAAATAACAAATTGATTATGGGAAATGACAAGTTCATTTTAGTAAATGACAACTTTAGTAGACCAAATCACAATTTGCTGAGAAGCATTTCAGACATTTTACCAAGATTTCATATTTACAATATGGGACCAGATCTTTATTTGCTACTATCCGGTCCTTAATATAGGACCCAATTGGTGAGTTGGTTTTGATTCTAAATATAAGACCCATTTCTTATATTCAATTCTCTTTCAATTACCCCTATAGATACTTCAATCATAATCAAGTGTAGAGAGGGAATATTAAAGATGATTATGGTGTTTTAGGAAAAACGTATCACATTTTTTATAATTAACTAACATACCTAATTCCTTAATCTAATCAATTAATTAAATGGGTCTTATATTAAGGACCGGAGGAGTATTTTTCAAATTAAGAGTTCCAAATCATAATTTTACATATTAAGTGGTTTTTATTTGTAATTTTCTCAAAAAATTTAAGTCGACCCTCACAATTTTTAAACCTAAGCGGCTCCACCGGATTTCGGCTCTACTCGTCTAGGAAGTTGGAATGGAACAGGGAGGGACAAGGGTTTATGAATGTGTGACTTGCAAGACAGGAGGGAAAAAATGACACAGTGAGATGGCACCGGAAGTCCGTACAGTGATTTTCCTCTTCAAAACTTCTGATGGGTTCGGAGGGTCCCTACGATGAAGAGAGGTTGAGAAACGAAGTCATTTACCTTCATAGTCTCTGGCATCAAGGTCCTCCAACCCCACCAAGCCCTCGCCCTTTTTATATCCCAAATAATGCTCGACCCTATTCTTTGATTCATCAGTGGAGTGTTAACCTTAAACCTCGGCCCCCTAACCCTTTTGTTTCTAATCATCCTAGGCCTCTCCAGCCCGTAGATTCAAGCACATTCAAGAATACGGAGAGGAAGAAGAAGAAGAAGAAGCCCATAAAAAAGAGGGACATCAGGAAGCGGACTCGACTCGACCCCCATATGAATTCCGGTCCCGAGTGGCCAATGCCGACGCAACATTCTGCTCCGTTGGTCTCGGGATGGCCGCCATTGGAGCCCTGTTCAAGTCAGGCGACCCGTCCGTTGTCAGCGGAAGAAAAGGAAAAACTTGAAGCGTTGCAGGTGCAGTATAAGGCGCGTCAAGCTTGCCGTGAGTTTTTGGTCGATTATGATGACAGTGATGACGACGTTGAAGATGACGAGGACGATATGGATGATGATGATGAGGTGGAGGAGATAGGGAAGTTCTTTTCGAAACTATTTGGGGAAAATGATGAACTGAGGAATTATTACGAGAAATGCTGGGAAGAAGGGGAATTTCGTTGTTTGGTTTGTGGTGTGGCCGATAACAAGAATGCCGGAAAGAGTTTCCATGATTGTGTTGGTCTTGTGCAACATTCGATGTCAATATCGAGGACAAAGAATCAAAGGGCCCATAGAGCTTTTGGAAATGCTGTGTGCAATGTTCTGGGTTGGGATATTAATAGGCTTCCAACCATTGTAATCAAGAATGAGGTGAAGCCAGCTCAGGGAGAGGTAGCGAACCTTCTAGAGTTCAATTTATGCATACTTATTGCAAGTAAACTGGTTTTTAAATAATTAACCAGAAAAACTGATGCTCGTATAACTTTAGTATCAGTTTTACTGGATAAACTGAAAAAAAAAAAAATAGCAGGCTCTGGTAGTGGTTAATCCACTAGGTGTTCCTGAGTCACTTATATGCAACTGAGTTTGTTAATTGGTAAGAATAAACTTGTGTATTCGTTAAATTTTTGGAGATTAAGTTTAAGCTAAAAGATTGGATAACTTTGAGTTCAAATTGTAAGTTAGTTTGATTAGTTTATTGTTGGTATTTGACTTTTTATGATCATGTAAGTTAGTGGGACTAAAGTAACATTGCAGGGCAAGACAAATGATAATGCTGCTGATGGAAAAGATGGTTCTTTATCTTCTGATAAATTAGATGATGAAGTATCCGTGGAGCAGCTTGGTGAACCAGTTAAACAGGACGTTGAAGTTGTTCATGAGACTATTAAACGTGTTGGTGAGGTAACCATTTATGAATTTTGTAAATAGTGAGTGAAAAATTCAAAATAAACAAAATGTTAGAAACTTGTCTTTAAAATGTTCAAATCATAGTCGTTGATGGTTTGTGGTGGCAACCTGAGCACCATCGACAAATATGACTTGAACAAGATTTTGGTAGTTGTTGACTATCATTGTTGTTGATAGTTGTGGGCACCGGCACAAGATTCTGCTCCGGTGGTCTCAGGATGGCCGCCATTGGAGTTCCATCCAACTCAAGGGATGCATCCGTTGTCAGCTGAAGAAAAGGAGATACTTGAGGTGTTGCAGGTGCAGTATAAGGCACGTCAAGCCTGCCGTGAGTTTTTGTTTGGGTCTGATGACAGTGATGATGATGGTGCCTATGATGACATTGATGATGATGTGGATGATATGGACGATGATGATGAATTGGAGGAGATGGGAGAGTTCTTTTTGAAACTATTTGGAGAAAATAATGAACTCAGGAAATATTACGAGAAATGCTGGGAAGGTGGGGAATTTCGTTGTTTGGTTTGTGGTGTGGCTGATAACAAGAATGCCGGAAAGAGGTTTCATGATTGCGTTGGTCTTGTGCGGCATTCAATGTCAATATCAAGGACGAAGAACAAAAGGGCTCATAGAGCTTTGGAAATGCTGTGTGTAATGTTCTGGGTTGGGATATTAATAGGCTTCCGACCATTGCGATCAAGAACGAGGTGGAGCCAGCTAAGGCGAAGGTAGTGAACCCTCTGGAGTTCAATTTATGCATACTTATTGCAAGTAAATTGGTGTTTATATAATTAGCTGCTAATGTTAAAATAACTTAACTACTGAATCTTGCTGGATAAACCAAAAAAAAAAAAAAAAAAGCTCTCATATAAGTCAATCCATTGGCTATTCCTGAGTCGCTTGGAGGCAACTGAGGTTGCCATTTTTAAGGATAAAATATTGTGTTTATTAAATTTTTGGAGATTAAATAGAAACTTAATGATTGGATAACTTTGAGACTCAATTGTATGATGGCTTAATTTGTTTATCGCTGGTTTCTGCGATCCAAGTATGTTGATCGAACTAAAAATAACATTGCAGGGAAAGACAAATGAGAATGATGGTGATGGAAAAGATGGTTCTTTATCTTCCAATGAATTACATTATAAAGCACCCGTGGAGCAGCATGGTGAGCCAGTTAGACAGGGTGTTGAAGTTGTTGATGAGACTATTAAACAAGTTAGTGAGGTAACCATTTATGAATTTTATAAATGATGGGGGATAAAAGCAAGATGAACAAAATGTTAGGAAGTTGTCATTAAAATGTTAAAGTCATAGTTGTTGCTGGTGTGTGGCGGCAACTAACTATTGCAATAAGGGTGTCTTGGAGCCAGAGTGAGCCCTATAATATATAGTTCAAGTATTTTGGAACTGTGTGAATTTTATCAAATTTTTTAAATCTTGAGAGTCCTTAAAAGAAAGAATTTCAATGAAAATGATGTTGAGAATGTTGATGAGAAAACCACAGGTGCCAATTGCCAGGCCAGACAAAGTGAGGAACAGTTGAGGAGACATCATCTGTACCGATTCATATCTGTTCTTTTCCATTTTGAGTTCCTTCTCAGTGCTTGGAGCTTCTTTGATGCTTGCTTTTAATGCTTTTTCAAGTGTTAACTGATGATTTGACGTTGTGTTTAATATGATTTTTACAGGGTGAGCCTGATAAATCTGCTGATGATCAAGTAAATAGAGCTTCTAATCAGAGTTCTAAGGAGGATCATGATGCTCATCACTAGAGTTGTCATTTTCATTGAGATTATACCTTTATGGAGAAGATTAGGAAGACCCCTATCTGGATATTTTTGTAAATTCTTCCGTTTGGTGCCATTAGCTCGGTAGTTAGTATATTGGTCATTTGCTTCTAGCTTTACCATCACGAACTGATGCTCAGAATGTGAATATCTTGACTATGCTAAACATGTTAGAAGTGAGAATACCATGACTTATGGTTTCATTGTTGGAGCGGTTTCACACTGATTGACACAAAACATGACATACCAAATTGATATAAAACACAATTGACTTCTTTTTGGTAAAAAGTTTGATAGTTATTTCAATCTTGATATACCAAATTCACAATTATAACTGTGGCAACTCCGATACTTATGTTGACATGGTAAATATTTGAAAAGATTTGCCCTTTTATCACTGCAACCGCCCGTTTGAATAATAAGCCAAATGTCTTCATGCTTGAAGAAAATATAACGCAAAACTGAGGAAATTTCTGACAAGTTTGTTGGCCGATAAAATCCTCATAAGTTCCCTTTACTTCCAATGATAAATTTGATAATATTATTATTCAACAGGTGCACATCCTACTGTTTACAAAACCTTTCACGAGGGAGAACCCAGCTTCTGATAATTTTTATTGAAGTTTGCTTGCTTCATTAGGAATTCTCACATGTTGGATGTAAGTCCTGTTAAATATATAAGAAAATTAATTTGCCAATCACTCACAATTTTATTAGATTTTGATTCTAAGTCCCTCTAATTTTATTTCTTTTTATTGAATCCTTTAAATTTATTACACTAAAGATGCAAGTCCTCCTGTTGATGAAGGCTCTCACACCGTTAGTATATGGGTAATGTGGCATTATAGACTTGTTCTCTCTCTCTCTCTCTCTAAGTGGTTCTTTCACATTCTCCACCGCCATGCATACAAGGTCGACGACCTTGTTCAACTAATTCTACGGGAGTCAAGATAACATCAGGTGAGGATTGGCGTTCAGCATTGTGGCTTCCCATGATATTTCTTTTTTCTTTTTTTCCCAACGGCAGTGGCAACGGCCATTGTGGCTTCCCATGATATTTCTTCCTTTCTTTCTTTTTTCCAACGGCAGTGGCAACAGAGTTCAAGTGCTGATACAATGGCTACATCTAAATTGCCAGCTTTTGATTCTTTAATAGGGTGTTCCCACTTAATATGGTCTCCCCATAATATTTAACATTCAAGCATTTCTTCTTTTCCTCGCTGCATCTCATTTTTTTTTAACTGCTCTAATTCCTCCACTTCTTCTCATTGATAGTAGCATCAGCATTTAACACTTATCCAATCAAATACCCGAGGTCGTATCATAATCCTTACTGACATGCAACATGAAGCATGAGTTAGTAAAGTTCAAAGACAAGCATTGCTTTCTTCTTGGAATCTCTCTCCAGTCCCGTAGCTTCTTTCACCTCAAGTTTGAATCAATGGTTCGTGAATAATATATATATATATATATATATATATGTATGTATGTATATATAAACAGATTCCTGTACTGCACAATGATGTAAAAGCATCTTAACCACATTTGATGCAAGCAACATAGATCGAAGCATTGGGATGAAGAAACCCAGTTGCTGCGGCCGTCAAAAAAGAAGAAATGCCATATGAAGCCCAATCCTCACCTGACGCTGTCCTGAATCCACAAGCACAGAAGCATTGCACTAACGTTAATCGAGAGGTAGAAGTTGAAGAAGAGGGTCATCGAATTGGTATGCTTGGCCGCGGAAAATGAGAGTATTTTAGAGAGAGAGAACAAGTTCATGTGCAGCTTTTTTTAGTGTCACATCACGCATGTATTAACAGTGTTAGAGCATTTATTAACAGAAGCACTTGCATTCTTAATATAATAAACAAAAAGGATTCAATGAAAAGAAGAAAAAAAACTACGAGGCCTTAACATCTAATGAAACTATAAAGACTGTCAAATCAACATTCTCTAAGTATAATACATACTTTAACTTAAAAGTTATATATTTGATTAAACTATAATGAATCATTATACCTGTAGTTGTAGAGAACCAGACCACATAACTGTTCACGGTATGTTGGACTCGTGGGTTTCTCTTGTAGCATAGCAGTATTAGCTTAGGCCACCATTTTTGCTCATCGTCTCTCCAGCAAAAAGATTTTAATTCTAAACACCAATGACTCGACAAGGCGTAAAATTTTTTTGGGTTTGTGTGTGTGTGTGTGTGTGTGTGTTTTTGGGGGTGGGGGGGGGGTAATCACTTTCACGTACAGCTAACAATATTATCAAATTATGCAATTGATAGTTTCAATAATACCTTGGTTAGCTCAGTACGCAATATACTAGTGGGTAAAACAAAATTTTCTTCACTCAAAAAATTTATTTTCTCAAAAACTTGAAAGCTATCTTTCACAGTTCAGGCTTCAGAACATCAAAACATCAGCAGCCATTAGTAACCCTTGTTCCCGCGTATCCTAGCTCTCATGTCCACCTGATAGAGGAGATAATGAAAAAGGAAGGATCAGCTATATCAAAATCTAGTCATACACCCGTTTAAATATTTTCTACCACAAAAAATATACATTATAGTTTTCACAGGGGACGTACATTTTACCTCCCTAAAGTACGGACCTTCTTGCAATATAGAAGGTGAACCGAGCTTTCAACATGAAGTGTTTTCTTTTGTTTCTCTCTTTTTTTTTTGGGGGGGGGGGGGCGTGGAGGTCCGAATGGATTAAACTGATGTATTAAACACCAATTAAAATTGATTGCACGATACTGCTTCCTTGTTTCACAATTTTCATGGATGGGCTCGTGCTAGGATGAAAATACAGATATAAGAGGCCACATGACATGAGAATCACATGGCCTTTTGTCGTTAATTTTAATTGAGATGAAATGTTTTCAATCTACGCCAGATTTCAGAGAACTGTTTTGTCACATTTTCAACTTTATTCCAAACTAGATTGTAAGCCTTGTAGTCACACTGGAGTTTGGACAGGTCAAATAGTCAAACTGCTCATAACTCGTAAATAATGCAGATTCTTATTTAGATCCTTAGTTTTTCTACCAGAACATTTTAAATATTAGGCATCTTCCCCAGGAGAAAAGCTACGTCTAGTATTGGACCTATTATTTGAGCGATATATCCATAGTTCATCAATGTTCTCAAGTTTTCTGGTTTAAGAGAAGTGAACACTAACATGTTTAAATAAGCTGTTCCTGCTAACTAATTTTGACTACAACATCAAGGCCTTAATGTTAAATGGAAACAAACTACAAAATTTCTATGAAGGCATTCCAACTAGTAATACATCGACAAGACAACCAGATCGAGTTATTCAAGAATCAGCACAAAACTTCCAAAAATAATTATATAAATAATGAAAATTCAAGTCTAAACCAACTTTAAATTCTCTTGTGCAAATATAAGTGACAAAACTAAGACGCAGTACTTAAAGTGTTCATTATAAAGTTTTTCAGTTAAACAAAAACATGTGAACATTTTCTCTAACCAGCAGCATATCATTAGCTCCTTTGAATAACAAATACCAAAGAACGATACCTAAGTTATGTCCACACAAAAAGGATTAACCTAAAAGTTCATAAGCAAAACAGAGATTGATCTGTTTAAAAACTCAGGTCCAGTCACAATCAAAATGTTTTGAACAAGGCAATGTTTCCTTGCAGACAACAGATGAACTGTATTACCACAAACTAAATCAGTTGTATCTTCCAAAGCAGTAATAAATTTAAGGTCGCTTTTTGCTCAAAATCTCTTGCTTAAAGAAACTGTAATATTAGAACCACAACCATATGCAGGACCACCCTAGCCTAGATGCTTAGATAATTTTATCCTATAGAATAAAAGTACCAAGTTCACAAAGAGGATTTCACTGATTTTCAGCCAATATCTTAGTCCATCAGACGGGAGAATATATGGTTCATGCCTATCCAACCATTTTCTACCAGTATCTCCAAAAGTAAACGCACAAAGGAACTGCAAACATTCAATAACATGGAAAGTCAATCACGACTCTTTGTCCCCACCACTTCGAATAATTTTTAAAATGGTCCTCTAGAGATTATCACCCGTCTCCATCGCTTCAATATCATACACAGAATCTAATATAGCATTCTCAAATATATAAAATTTTCTTTTTCGAGTACATAAAAGTTACCCAATAATTTCCATAATCTCAACTTCTAATCTGCAGGAGTAATGGATGGTTTTGACAAACTCCCATGAGATGGGAGTGTTAGGATTTACCAACTGGTTACGAAACAACAAAACAGAGTAATGAAAGCAGTCAATCCCGAATGATTCAACACTTATAATTGTAAATTTCTGCACACATCAAACAGGTTACATGTTAATCCTGCCGTTTCCCAATCACATTAAATTTTTCACTGAAAATGAAGTATGTTAAGTGCTTAGACAGGCAGTCAATCGGTTTAGACTAGGAAAGAAGTTACCCTCCTTTGAGCAGGAAATAGGGGCTCAAGTTTGAGTTTCGGCATCAACTTGTATACCAAAATATAATTAGGGATAAAACTGCTGACTTAGTCCTAAATAAATAAACAGTATGGGTATGCATTTGAAATCATAGAACAAGGAAGTATGATTAATCAAGGAAGAAGATAGCCTCTTACCTGGCCTCTTTTGCAATTGAAATAAGTCTCCCTCAGTCCAACACACTCACTAGGTATTGATGGGGCCTTCTCTCCCGCACACTCCCTATAGGATCGATTCTCAACCTAATTTTTCCATCGAAATATACGCAATGTCATTCTTACAGCATTGAAACTCAACATTTCAGACTTACAGACAAATATTCATCTCGAATTTAATCATTTCATAAATACAATAATCCAGACGAACCTTAATACAGTCCGATTCGCTGAGACACTTGACGAGTTCCATAGCTAACCCCTTGCAAGATTTGGACATTGCGCTTCAACTCGCTATCAACAAAAAGACATAAGTTACATCAATTACGAGAAACGACCGAATTTAGACAAGAACTAGGATAACAAGCTAACCACGGAGTTCTTCTTCTCATGTAAAAGAATTGATTTTCTTACATGTTCAATTTCGGAGAGGTTCCAGCAAACCCAGACTTCTTCTCGCCCAAGTTGGTTCTGTTACGGCGATGGCAAGAGGCGCCGCCGTGTTAAGAAGCGTTGGTGACAGCGAGGTCAACAGCGAGTGCGATATAATCTCTGATGACGGGAGGCACGAGCTAGGTTTTTTCAAATCTCCGACGACGGGTAGTAGTAGTTCACTTGTAAGACTGCCTAGGGCGGCTTTCACGGCTGTAGCCCTGATGAATTGTGGCGACGGTGGCCAATCAGTTCGGCGACGGGAGAAGATCAACGGGTGAAGGAGGGAGGAGTTAGGCGGCGTCTTATTTTTCCCCTAATTTTTTATAAACTTTTTATATAAACGTATTTAAAATTTTGAATATAGTTTTTTTTTGCTGTAAAAAAAGTTGAGGTGAGTTGGATTTTAAGATTTCTGAAAGCGTTATTATCCACCAACAAAATCTTCATATCAATAGTCGGATTCGATTTCACGATCTTATAAATTATAAGCTGACTTCTTGTTAACAAGATTAATTTTTATTTGTTTTTTTTTTTGACCGGAGATTAATTTTTATTTGTTGAACATACATGTTTTATCTGGGAAGGCAAACCTATGACACTGACATTCCTCCAAAGTCCAAACGGCCATTCAAACTTTTGTTTCGCCATTTGTAAGGGCCTGACCCGCTAATGTTTGAAGTGTTGGTACCATCTTCACTTTGTACCAGAAGAAAAAATTCCATTTTTGCGTTCAGAAATTTGATTTTGTTTTAGTTTTAATGTCTAAAATTTAAAACTAGTAGTTTTAATTTATAAAATTTGATTTTATTTGATTCGACTGAAAGATTTTTATCCATAAAACAATTAGTATCAAGTCTAATGTAAGTCGAGATATCTTGGTTCCACCTTAAAAAAGTTGGTCATATTATTTAGTTTTTTTTTTAACTTTTATTGTTGTTATGTATTTTCTGAAATAAGAAAATGGTTTTGTTGTTATGTATTTTCTGAAATAAGAAAATGGTTATTACTCCTCTATGCATCTCCTTTCAAATTTATGAATTAATAGGAAAAAAAATTCCTTCATTTATAAATATAAAATTTTAATTTACTTTATTTTTAAAATTTATAATTTTTCCTTAACTTTTTAACTAATTTTGTATATAAAAAAAATTTTGTAAGTAATAATATTCTATGCAAATGACAAAAAAGAATATTTAAAAAAAAATGAAATCATATTTTTTACAAATAATTAGCTAAATTAATTTTTGAAAAATTTGGTTAAAAAAAATCTCAAAATTTAGTTGCCTAAAAAAACTTAGATTTAAACACATGCTACTATGATTCGTGAGTATAATTTTTTTTTTAACTGTATGTAACATATCTTCTGCTATATATAAATAGCTCATTAATAATTACACTCTTCAAATTTAGGTCTTTTTAGACAAATATTATTTTAACTTTAATCAGTGCTCTAGGCTTCCAGCGGATGAAAGGGTTTTTTGCCCCTGGGCTATTTCACACCCAGTTGAAAAAATAATCGGATTTCGTTAAAGAGAGGGCCTTTTTTGTCTACTGGGAATGTCAAACAGCCCAAGACTGGCCCAGAGCACCAAACCAGGGCATATAATAAGAACGGAAAGGGCATTCTTTGTCATCTATCCTCACACGGAACGCAGAAAGGTAGATACTTTGAGAGAAGAAAATGGCAGGGATTGGCCCTCTTACTCAGGATTGGGAGCCCGTTGTGATCCGGAAGAAGGCACCAACAGCGGCAGCGAAGAAAGATGAGAAAGCTGTCAACGCCGCTCGTCGCTCCGGCGCCGATATTGAAACCGTAAAAAAATGTATTGCTTGATTGTTCCGTCGGTTGAGTTTCCTTTGGTTCATGAATACCTGCGATCATCTTATCTAGATTGCTTTTTATTTTGTAATGATTTCTGAAGAATTATATCGGGGCCTTGAAGAGATAAATTAATTTTATATTTTAACCAGCTTCAAAATGGAAAAGCTGACGAATTTATGGTCTTGAGACTCAGATAATTTCTATAGGAGACACTAGGGGTGGGGATTATAGAAGATTTACAATTTTTTTGAACTCGTGCCTTAGTATGTGATGGCCAAACAGTAGGAAGGTATCCTTGTTCGACGTTTTCTTATGTTTATAGGTTGTAGAATGGGTATTTAGGTTTACAAAACAATTATTTTTCCGTTGCTCTCTGATGTGTATTTGCTGATTTTTCTCGTAAAATTTTGATTTAGTAGTTCAGTAACTACTCTGTATGACCGAGTTGGTGCCTGTATGTGCAAGCTTGACTTGCCTGTCTTTTATTATCTCATCTAATTCAAGTGTCGTCAGTTTATAGTATTTTGTGTTTTGTCCGTAGAATTGTTTAGGCTGGAAGAGATAATGGAAACTTCAGTAGTTAAAGTGAAGTAAAATCGGGTTTCCTTTGCGAAGAATTGCACAGCCGAGGGCACACAATTGTCTTGTTTGATTTCTGAAGTTTAGACGTTTATATTTAAATGATTTACAACTGTTACAAGAATAGAAGCGTGAATCGAAATTGTGACTTTGACTTCCAGCGGTACTTTCTAACCTTATATTTTGTACAATCTGCAGTTAATGCTGCCACAAATAAAGCGGCCTCCAGCAGCACTTCTCTAAACACAAAGAAGCTCGATGAAGAAACTGAGAATCTTCATCGTAAGTAGATGCCGTCTTTTATGTTTTTTTCTCCTCTTGGTGCGTCTTTAGCTGTAATAGAACAGTCATACTACCTTTTGAATAGATACAACCTATATGGTTTGGCTTCCCTAATTTTCAGATGTAGAAAGAAATGTTGTTTGATGCAGAGGTATTGAACACCTATTATCCTGACTCCTTATAAATCTGCCATATGTCAGTTACTTATCTATCCAAAGTCTTCCAAGACATTACTTGGAGGAATTGTTTATGGATGGAATTTTATCAATGGGAATTATATTTTGAAAAAATGAAAGAAATTTCATTCTCTTTTTATATCTTTAATTTAGAGGGAATTAAAATATAGGGTGTTTCCCACCTATCCACTTTTCCTCAAATTTAAAACCTTCAAACTGGGAAATTTATTTCCTTTCCATCTAGAAGCACATTGTTCAGGGATCTATTACATGCGTAGAGGATAAAGATGCTCATGGAAATTGGCAGATTGTGTGTTGGGACATTTTAGTAATGAGATGGACTTACCATTTAACCCGTCTTCAAGGTCAAGGTGAAGTGCTTGTTGGGTTTCTGGCTGACCTTTGTATCAATAAATAACCGAAATCCTTTATGGGATGAAATACTAGTTTTATAAGTATTTTATATGATTGCTTAAGTATACTTTTTTCCCCCTGGATTTTAGTTGTGCATAGGCATTGCTCTGATCATTTGGCTTGCCAGTTGCCTCTGCTGTATATCAAAGAAATTGCCCCGGATTGAAAACTAGTGCAACTTAACATGCAAATTGCAATCAAGCTCTAGGTACCAAGATGGAGATAGAAATGAAAGCAGAGGAATGAGAAATGTGGAGAACACTTGTTTGACTTGTCCATATTTTTTCTCAATCTAAAAATTTTTGTTCAGGCCTTGAGATCATTTAAACTATGAATGTTGAAATATGATAATTTGCCCAAAAAAAAAAATTAGGATTGTTGCATTATCCTTCGTTGCACAAGTTTCCTTGAGTTTTGTGGTTCCCCTTGGTAGAGTGAGCCAACCATTTCAAGGTTTTTCTGCCTTCTGTATTAGTCCATATATAACAAGCAGTCAGGCAATACTTTTTTGTGCTCGACTGATATTACCCATGGTGTATGCATACTGTAGGTTAATTTCCATGTTTTCACTTACTGCAAATTCTGTCTGTTATTGAGAAACGCATTTTTTCCCCTAATGTAATAGGGGGATGTTGATCATGGAAGGATTTTCTTTGGAAAACCAGTTAAATTTGTAATGACTGTATACTGCTAGACATTTTTTTTACTCAATCCAATGGATCTGGATATCTCTTCTCTGGGATTTTGCATGTTCTTCGAATGAATAATTATAGAGTATGTATATGTTGTGTATCGGATGACTTTGGCAGAAATTTGTTGGGTTTATATGGGACATTTTCTTTGCTACTCCTAAATAAATGTTTCCTCTTTATGATTGGCACCATTTTTCGTCTTTTGGAAATTTATATATTTCAAAGTTTATGGTATGCCTGACTGTATTTGCAGATGAACGGGTTCCGACTGAATTAAAGAAAGCCATCATGCAGGCTAGGATGGAGAAAAAGCTTACCCAGGCTCAACTAGCTCAGGTCTCTTTCTTTGATGTGAAGCTTCTTGTCAGCTCCCCACACACCCCCCCCCCCCAAAGAAAAAAAGCACCAAAAAAAAAAGAAATTTGCTAAAACTATGGGCTAACCATCATTTCAGCACCACTTTGCACTACATTAAAGGAAGTGCTCCCATTTAGAGTTTTTCTTCAGCTTTATTTCCAAAGAAGGATATGGTGTTTTGAACATCCTAAATTATAACTGAGATTGTAATGGTTTTTTTTTTTTATTTAAAAATTGGGGGGGGGGGGGGTTGGTGTTCCCAAGCTTTGCTGACCCGTGTAATTTCAGAGAAGTGTTGTGGGCGTAGTTTTACTTTTAGCTCCCATAAAACTGACTCGTTTTTTGTATTTCATTTCGTGTAGATGTATTTTCTTCTTCGAGTTCTCTTTTTTGCTTTAGCTTCCATGATACTGACTCACCTTTTTACTGTGCAGGTGATAAATGAGAAGCCTCAAGTTATTCAGGAGTATGAATCAGGTAAAGCCATTCCAAATCAACAAATATTAGGTAAACTGGAGAGAGCTCTGGGTGCAAAACTGCGTGGAAAGAAATGAAGTAGTCTAAACGATAGGATGTCTTGAGTGTCAGTTATGTCAAAGTCTCTCAACTGGCGTTGTATATGAACTTTCTCCTGTCGTCGTGACTTGTGTATCAAGTGTTGTGTCGTGTCATGCTGGTGGTGTGTCTGGTCATCTAGGATCCCAAATAAGGTTGTGTCTGCTTAAGTTAAGTTTGTTTCCTTGAAACATGTTTGCTTGAGTGATCCTGAAACATGTTTGTCTCATTGATCTATATTTGAATCGGATTTAACTTAGTGAAGTTTTATTAATTTTTGCTATTCTCCAATAAATACATAAATTGAGGATTAAAAACAGAGAAAAGAAAGAGAACATCCAAAGCAATGTGGTTATGAGTACAAACATTTATAAATTGTGCTCAAGTTTTGCTCAACTCATTCTTTATTGATTCAAAACCATTTAGGAGGAACGGATAGGTTGAGAGTTGAGAGTTGAGACATATGGGCAAGAGAAATCCTTTGGTACTCTTGGGGTGGCATTTCACTTTTACATCTCAAATATCGTTATCCTATGTATTCTCGTAATCTCTTATAGTTTTACATTAAAACTTTGCTGCTCTGGTTCTCATTCTTTTTCTTATTTACGTATCTCTCTTCAAGTCTTCCTTTGCTTTTTATTGCAACACTCCTTTTTCTTTCTTTCTTTTTTCGGATAAATCACAACGCCCCTCTTTTCACTACTTGCATATGTTTTGAGTTAAAAGTTTAAAACTAAAATTTTCTTCTGTTTTTTTTATTTTTAAAATCAATACTGTGTCCTTGACTAGGTCTATGCTTTACCCAGTAGTAGTTCGCTCCAACCCGAGGTGGTTCAATCTAGTCTAAGTAAAGGAATATAAGAAAGCGGATTAGACTGTACTGGATTGGAGACAAAGTGGCTAGACCATCCAGACTGGTTTAGTGTGGTCTAGGTAATTTTTTTAAAAACAATATTTTGTACTTTAGAATATTTTTTATTGTTATTTAATATTATTAGAAATTCTTATGGATTTATGGTTAAGTTTTAATATTTTGTCAGTACTGGGGGGTGAAGAGAGAAGTAAAGCATTTTCATTGAGGACAAAATACATAGAGGCAGGTGTTAAGTTACTTTTCTGTGAAGAAATAGTTCTGCGGAAATACATATTTTTCTGCCAAAAAGGATTTCGATGATAAATGCCCTGATAGACTTCAGCTGCAAAACACAATTAAGTGCTTTTGAGGTTTAGAATGCCAATAAAGCTGAAATACGCCTATAGAGTTGAGCATAGGCTGATACAGCCTGCCTGTTTTAGAACAAAATGTGCAGTGTGCTTAAGATTAAACCAAATAATCCGAGTGCAAAATTAGTTGTTGAAAGATAATTTAAAAGATAAGTAAAATCTACATGTATGATCACAAGATCAAATGCTGGAGATAGTTGAAGTGGAAAACACTTTTGCCAAAAAAGGTACAAAAGCTCAGTGTGTAGAGTTTATGTTTCAGTTTGGATATTTATCCTTTGTACCAGGCAAAACGTCCGTGCGGTGTACATTATCAACATTAAATGAAGATGGAAGATATTAATGAAATTTTTTTCTTTTTTTGTTCAATAAATGTATGATTATTTAAATAAAATATCTTTTGTTACAAAAAAAATATTAAAACGAAATTAAATAAAATTGGTTTACAAAAGATCTTTTGTTAAGGAAAAAAGATATCCAGAAACATTTAAAGTTGAAATATTCATAATAATTTGTGTATATGATCTCGTGTGGCGACCCTTTGCATGATTTGTGTCATGGAAATAGAAAATAAAAAATCAAATTAAAAAATACAAGTTTTTACCAAAATTTTGATTTGATCTTTTCTTTCAGTTTTTGTCCATTTATTTCGTTTCCCAAAAAAAAAAGATCAAACATTAATTTTGCCTTTCAATATATACTTTTCTTGTTTAATGTAATAATTTTTCGAAACATTCGAGCGATACATATACTAAATCAAATGATGCATTAATTATGAAATAACTTTTATTATAAAACGCTTTCAAATTCTTGTATGAACCTTTAAAAAGTTTTATTACTGTGTTTATATTATAATAAAAATTAGTAAAATTTACACCATATATTTTTGTCTATTTTATCGCAATTTGATCAAATCAAATTATAAGTTGACGGCTAAACGCTTTGATAATCAATTCAAAAAAATCGATTGAGCCGGTATGCCACCTGGTTTACTGCACATTATCAATAGAAACACTAAATTTGAACATCTCTGCGATCAAAATTTAAACCATGGTTAACGTTGTCTGCAAAGTGCAATTAACTTTCTCGAACATTAGTTCTTTTTCATAAAAAAAAGTTTAATCGTGGAAATCACAAATTGTTAATTATTGTTAATAGACTTCGCCTGGGATACTTGCACAACCATCTTAAGAAGGAAAACGGTGGGTCAGAAGAGCAGAATTTGCTGTTCTGCATCACTTGCGTTTTGCCTGTCATTCACTTCCGGTATGAGGTTTGAAATAGCTACCCCCCGCCCCCAAAATAACAAAAAAACATAGCTTACACCAAACACAAAAAAAAAAAAAAAAAAAAGAATGAAGCAAAATAGGTCGCATGATGATGGTCAAACGAAATATGATTTAAAAAAGTTATAGCATATGATTCTATCGTGCTTACCAACCACGTTACCTAGCTTTGGACAAAAGGAAAAATGATTCCAGAGACTACCACCAATCCCAAAACCAATCAAGATTACCTAATGCAGAAACCGCAAAGCTTACTGCTCACGCTGGCGAGGATTTAAAAAAAAAATTAGAAACAAGACCAATAGAACTGACCCAGGAGTATGACGACTATTTGATTATGGAAGATGTCATTATCCTAGGGATAAATGAAGAGCATTTACATCAACTTCCTCCAATCAAATAGTAAACTCAACTATGCGGGAAAAAAGAGATTCAGAATAACTATTCATTTATGACATCCATAAAATAAATAGGCATAATGAAACCAAAAAATATATTTACTCACAAGCCAGTTTAGTGCCAAAGCTAGTTAGGCATATGGCAAAGGCCTGAAATGCAGACAAGGGCTTCCTGTAATCCATAGTGAAGGTATCATCCCCTATTTTCCCAAATTGAAGAACTGTTTCCTCATCTCCTTTCCCTCCTGGTTGGCTTTGGTCCACCGTCGCAACTAGCTGAAAGTTCTTCACTGATGCTACAGTCACACGACCGTGGAAATTTAAGCACCAGCATTGCAAATGCTCATGCCACCTCGGAGCTTTGTTTTTCAAGATTGAGTATTGTGAGGCAGCTTGTTCTGTATTGCTCGTCTTGTGGGCACCCAGAGATCTGCTATCTGAACTTTCTCCTGATGATTGGTTTGGGAACTTCAGTAAGCAAACCATCCTCCTTGGCCCTCTTGACTTCAAAAGGTTGAACTTGTACGATACCTGCCCCACCTCAAAGTTACCAGCAGGAACTTGAGGGCTTATTTGCTTGGAGGCAAAACGACGGCTGGCCTTGCCATTTGATGGCTTTGCACCACAATGGGGAGGCTGGCTATCATAAATTGTGAAGTTGGTGCCAAGAAAATCTGAGCTGTAAAGAGATTTCACCAATTGAGTTTAATACACAAGTAAAAGATTGATTGAGAACTGACCACATATTCACATAAAGCATTCACCCATGTAAGTAGCTCTGCAAATCATTTTGAGAACATATACCATCCATATCGTAGGTATAGAGCTGTCACATAACATCTTACTCAAACTTTTTTCCATTTTTTACCAGAAGGGTGTATTTTGTTTACACCAATAGAATGCTTACCTTAACTTTCCAACATAAGCTTTACTTCCTTGCGATATGTCATCAGCATCAAGTGAAAGTATATATTCGATACCAGAACCACGCCTATATCTCTTAGCTGCCAAGAGAAACTTACCTCTATCTGTGAATGCTGGCGAGAGAAAGGACAAGAAGACAAAATAAAATGAGCCAAAATTTATAATTAATTATATCAGAATAAACGAACAAAGAAATCAAAAAGCATGCAGCACGCACATACCATAAATAATTCAAATAAATTGGCGTTGAAATCATCAGAGTCTAAAATATTAATCATTAAACTTACAATTAACTTTTCCCAAAAAAAAAAAATAATAATAATAAATAATTCCACAATTAAAAACATACACTTAACCAAAAGCTCCTTTGAATCAATTATATCCTACATGCCTTCTCTCCTCATTGATCTACTCAGGCAACGTAATATACGGACTACGGACCAAACAGAAATTTAGTAATTTAACAAGATTACACATAATAATAGCTCACTGAGGTTCAGAAGCTAAACCAATAGACAGACTCCTCAAAAACATTAATTAAGACTTTTAAGATGCGACAAGAAAAGGGTGCTACAACCAAGAGGCTTAAAAAGCCATGCTCCATGCCAAATAATGATTGTAAATCTCAGGAAATCAAACTCTTCTACCAAAAATGCTTCAATAACATATAATGATTTACTACAACAGATGTTTCTTGAAAGATGAAGCTTCACTGCAGAGGTTTTCCATGTGAGTTTACTTAAAATAAATAATATTTCTTCTTCTGATGTCAAAATACTCCTCCGGTCCTTAATATAGGACCCAATTCTTGAGTTGGTTTTGGTCCTAAATATAGGACCCATTTCTCATATTTATCAATTTTCTTTAAATTACCCCTGTGGATACCCCCCAACCATAGTCAAGTAGAAGAGGAAGATGAGATATTAAGAAAGATGATTATGGTGTTTTAGGAAAAATGTGTCACTTTTCTTATAATTAACTAACTTATCTAACTTTCTTAATCTAATCAAATTAGTTAAATGGGTCTTATATTAAGGACCAGAGGAGTAATTAGTACTCAAACAAATGAAGTTCAACACATAAGGCAAAAAAGCATGAATTTTTCCACTTCTGCATGCCACATCCAATTATTGTTTATGAACAGAACGAACAACCCCTTTTTCTTTCACCTTCTGACCTTCTCTTTGTTTTTTAAAAAGGTAGGGACATTGTAATACTTAAGACAAATGAATGGAACAAGTAAAGTTCAATAAGTTGACTATAGTCGGTCATCCGACACTGAATCTGGTCAATGGAAAGTAGAATCACGACATTTGAAACATATTATTCACTTGAACTGAAGTTAAATCATATTGGTTCAAATTAGAATGGCTAGAGTCATGCACTCGATATATTAGATACCATCCACTTCTAGCTCTCACACATACAAAAGACTTTACTCAGT